ATCAATATATTTTCATAGGAATATGTATGAATGACAAAATGGATTGTTTCGCCCCTTCTCAAGCCAACTGGTTTCCTTCGCTGGCCCTTTGAGGCTCGAATTTTGTTGGGATCTAAACCCGCGAGCGCTCAATCTGTCCACCTCTGAGCCAAAGCTCTAGATAAGTTCTTTGAGACTTTACCGGCGTGCCGATAGCTGACAGGGCTGAAGTGGGAAGCAAACTACTGAGCTGGAGGTCAGTACCCTATAATCAAGAAAACTCAAGTTCCGAGCAATTCGTTCTCTGTTGGGAAAACCTCACCCTATACCATTCTACGGTAAGGTGGACGCCTTTCCTGTGCAGCTTACCCATCGTGGTAGCACAGGTAAATGGGGTCAAAGCTAGGTCAGACCTGGGCAATTACCTCGAAGAGCAAGAATAACCACGACTCCAAACAGTAACTTCTCCTGATTAGTTCCTTCCTACTTTTGAGCCCTTGATAAAGCTAATCAAACCCCGCAACGCCATTGGGTTCCACTCCCGGGATTGTCAAAGCAGGAAGGTCACAAAGTAGCCCCTTTGATTGCTACTGAATTATGTAACATGTCTTCCGTGCGAAGGGTGCCACGAGGTCAGCGAGGATTTTGGTAGACTCGGCGTTGCTCGTAAACGTAAAAAAAACAAGTGGCGCACGTTCTTCACAGATCATGTCTAATGATCACCACCAGTTTACGGAAAAGTAAGCCTGAACTAGACTACAGAGGAAACTGTAGCCATAGCCACTTTGGAAACTTATGAGAAATGTGGAATTGAAAACTCGAATCACATGACGCAAACGTAGTCGTTGTTGTCGCCGCCACCGGCGTCGTCATCATCGCCAAAGACAGGCTTTTGGGGCCTGAAGGACGTTTCACGTACGGGGGCTTGAGTTGAGAGACCGCACACACACACTCACGCAGAATCCATTCTTTGGTTGTGACGGTGATGATTTTCTCGACAAAGCCGAAGCGATCTCATTGATGGACACTTTCGGTTTGCCATTGCGTTCATTCGTGGCCACCACATTCGGTGGATGCCGTTCATTGCCGTTATTCGGTTGTGATCCGCTGGCCGGTGAGGTCACTTTGTATTTGAGCGAGGGATGATCGGACAGATCTGATAAGACGGCGAATTTGTCGAAACCGTTGGTGATCTGAAACAGGTGGATGGTGGTATGGCGCGTATCAGTTCGAGTCCAACCTCGATTCGGAATCGTAAAGTGGCGCGCTGGCGCACGCGAAGAGCACAACGCCGTGCGCCCTTCACCACCCAAAACTCACCAGATACTGTATCAAGGTCATGGTGGAGGTCGTGGTAGTCACTTCGACTACCACGAATTTCGATTGTTGCATTCCTAAACGAACAAGCCGAGCATACGGTCACATGAGCGTCAACACACACGACTGTAAAATTAAGCGAGAACTGACAACGTAAATGAAAAATGGCAGTTCGATTTGAAGCATATAACAGCAGAATACGGTAGGTAGATAACTATATAAGAGCAGTGTACGGTAGGTAGAAAGAACGGATGAGATAGCATGGACGGAAGCTCAATAATCAAAGAACTTAATAACGCCCTACGAAAAGATCAATCCCGTTTTTACGGACAGGCACTGAACAAGTTTACCGTAGCCTGACATAGAAGCTTTGGTTTAGATTTCCAATCAGGACCCACATAGCGGCAATCAAGATTTCTGGGTAAGTAACAGTAAGGAGTAAAGTGATGTGAAAGGCGGCTGGCAGAAAACGAAGCCAAAAATAGCGGATCCATAAACAGGACGAATAATAAAGCGGAATAAGATGGAAGGTGTGAGTCACAAGAGCAATGGAGACACACTCGAAACATCCGGTGTGTACGCGTGTGGGAGCGAAACGGGGTAAGAATTGTGGCCGATGAGTTGAAAAGGGGTAGCAGAAGGGGTGAAGTGGGCCACAAATGGGGCTAGGCGTCCCCCGCCGCTCGGGCTCGCTGACATCGGCGCGGCGGCGTTCGAAGATAAAAACTGGTTGGACGAGTTTCGCGACGTAGCAGCCCGGTGTGAGCCATCACATGCTCTCCCCACCCCATCTCTCTCCTCTCCTGACACTAGAATACGACGAGACAACGACTACGACTACGACGACGGACGACGACGACGACTACCGATCGCGTCGTTTCCCTTTTTGTCTCATAAACAAGGCCTCGTACATGAGAGTTGATCGGCGACCTGCCGATGTGTATAACTTCGTATAATGTATGCATTAGTCGGCTGCCGTCTGATGTGATCATTCCCATGGCAAAACCTTGATGACGCCTGCTACTTAACCACAAGCCATGGAAATCTGGTTCTAGTTAACTTCACCAAAGTCATAATAATCATCACAACATAGCCATATCACGCTGCCAGGACGTAGAGACCCTTACCCTGACCCGCTCAAACCAACTACGCACGAAAAACCAAGGGCTAGAGAATTTGATAGCCATTCCCAAAGAAGAAACTGCAACTAGGAGCTGGAGAGATATGCCCGACGGGGATATCGTATCAACCTTGAGGACTATGGCGAAGCATCCGGCGTTGTACGCAGCAGCCAGTCAGCCAGCAGCGACAACAGCAGCAGCAAGCAGCGCATCGTCGTGTGTCCGATGCGATTCTCCACCGTATCTGGGGCTGAAGAGAACTGGTTGGGATAGTGGAGGCGATGGTGGTGGAGGTGGTGGTGGTGGTGGTGTGTGTGGAGCTATGTGTGTGCTCATCAAAAACTACCCCCGAAACCACCCCTTTGAGAAGCGCCCCATGACGATAACGACGACGACGATGGAAGCTGTCAAGGTAGTCAGGTTGTGATTTCACCAGCCAACAATGTCATCCATAACAGTTTCGAAACACGCCTTCTAAAGAACTCTCACAAAGTGACTGAAACCGAACATCATGCGCTTCCTACACAACACAACAACGTGAATGACGCCAGCGCCAATTTGCAGCCTGGCCCAAGTTTCGCACCTACCTATACACTCGCTGGGCTCAACTGGTAGTTGCGACGAGGCGCCCTGGATTCTGTCCAATTGGGACGGAAGAAGTTTGACATGACCCACATGGGCCAGAATTTCCTACTTCCAGCACTTTTTCACAGGAAATATTGCCATACAATCTAGCTATAAGAACTTGCTTTTAAAGTCCAGCAGTACCGGGACATCCAAAAACTGAATTAGGCTTGTAAGTGACAGGAGATTCAAGAAGTAACGTCAGTTATGAAAAAAGGAAAAAAATCGTCGACAGGGATGAAATAAAGTTTAATCTCCAGAAGCGGCGAAGGGGAGACATTGATTGATGTGGGACGGGGTAAGGGTTTTTAGGTAGCATGGTCAATGCTGCCCTAAGTCTAAGCTTAGCGCTTGGACCTTGTCAAATAATCCCAAAATTTATGTACATGTCCCCTTGTGTACCGCTGCTGGCGCTATCGCAATATACGGGGGCATTATATGACGACAATGTGATAGATTTGCATGCACATTATGATGCATTAAAAAACCGCGTAAGACATGCCTTTTTTGTTGAAAATGGGACTAAACCTCAAGCGGGTGGAAAGACTCCAAGGTGCGTGAGTCGGTTTCATTTTCTCCGAAGCTCCTGCTCCCTATTAGGCTTTGTCCTAGATGACGCCCCGTATATTGCGATAGCGACCCGTTGCTTTTTGTCTCGGGAGATAGCTTATTTTTGATCATAAATCCCGAACCTTGCCCTAAAGTACCAAAAAAAGATCTGAGATGATTCTGAGATTTTTTTCCTGGAAAAAAGATTCTGAGATGGTGCCCCAGGTGCAGCAGGTAGCAGGTAGCATCACATGCCGTCTCAGGCTTGCTGGTTGCCGTTGCTGAGAATGTCAATCAACTTTTCGGGTCTAGCTTATGGCCAACTCCACAAACCAGACAGTTGTTCATAAAAGGTTAAGAATGGAAGATTCATGAGAATTGACGAAAGACGCGATAGAGAATCACAAAAACGGCTACACAGTGAAATGAGCCGGTCTCGAAACAAAGCGCCACTTCAGTCGACGACAATTTTTAGCGTTGATGCCTAATTGTTTTCTGGAAACTACGAAAAGAACCAAGCCAAGACACCTCCTGCCAGCTGTACGGCGAAGAATTTTGCAGAGTGAAAACGAGTCCTGGCCAGAGAATCGTATTAGGTAAACTTGCAACGGTGGGGATAGTCGGGTGGTGGCTCTGGAACGGGCCATTGACTGGCGATGCGATGCTCCCTGCCGCGTAAGGCCCTGTGGAGAGGTAGTGGAGCGGAGGTCGAGGCCACCTAGTCGCGTGTTATCTGCAGCAGCTCTTCGCCGGCGAACATTGTGCATGAAATAGGGCGCGCGGCCCGGTTCGGCGGCGGCTCTCTCTCTCCCACACCACAAAACACTCCCCAAACTAGGTCACTATCCACCACGCACACGCACACACCCGCAGCATATTGGCTCTCCGACGTATCCTTTCCGATCTTCCAAGTCACCTCGGCCATCGGGGGAACAGTGAACCTTGTTGTTGTTGCATTATGAGGGGACGGGAAGGTTTGTACCGCTCGATGAGGAAGGGTGGGAGATTTTCA